TATGGCACCGAAGGGTAGCTCATATGAACATGAACCTTTTGAACAAATTGGTTTCACAAGACTTAGTAATTGGCATCCCAAAACTTAAGTTTGAAAAAGACACCATATGTGATGCATGTCAAAAGGGGAAGCAAGTTCGGGCTTCGTTTAAGTCTAAAAACATTGTTTCAACGTCTAGACCGCTTCAACTTTTGCACATGGATCTCTTTGGTCCTTCTAGAACGAAAAGTTTTGGTGGCAATTACTTTGCGTTTGTGATTGTCGATGACTACTCTAGGTTTACATGGACCTTGTTTCTAACTCACAAAAGTGAGGCATTTCATGTTTTCAAAAATTTTCTAAAGAAAGTTCAAAATGAAAAAGAAACAACCATAGTAGCCATTAGAAGCGACCATGGGGGAGAGTTCGAACAAAATCTATTCTCAGATTTATGTGACGAACTTGGCATTGATCATAATTTCTCAGCCCCACGTACACCACAACAAAATGGAGTTGTGGAACGTAGAAACAGATGTCTCGAAGAGATGGCTAGAACTATGATCAATGAGGCAAAAATCCCTAAGTATTTTTGGGTGGACGCCGTGTGTACCGCGAGCTACGTGTTAAACCGAGCCGTCATTCGACCGATACTCATGAAAACGCCTTATGAACTATACAAAGGGAGAAAGCCAAACCTTTCCCATCTTCGAGTCTTTGGTTGAAAATGTTTTATTCATAACAATGGCAAAGATAACTTAGGCAAATTTGATGCCAAGTCGGATGAAAGAATTTTCCTGGGTTATTTACTTCGTAGCAAGGCCTATAGAGTCTTTAATAAACGAACCTTGACTATTGAGGAGTCCCCTCACGTTGTATTTTCCGAAGATAATCCTCGCTTGGCGAGAAATGATATTTGTGATGATCTTGCAGATTCACTAGAGAGGATACACATCGAAGACAATGAAGAGAACACGGGAATATACACCAACACGCAGCCGCAAATTGGGGAGATGCCTCAAGCAACTAACCAAGGTGAGGAAGAAGAACAAGAGGAACACGAAGAAGAAGCAACCGAGCTTCCCATTGCATGGAGAACGAACAAGAACCATCCGCTTGACCAGGTAATCGGTAGCATCAACCGCGGGGTAAGTACTCGGAACTCACTTAGGGACACCGTAGGACACATGGCTTTTGTTTCTCAAATTGAACCTACAACCATTTCCGAAGCAATAAACGATGAACATTGGACCTTGGCTATGCAAGAGGAGCTAAACCAATTCAAACGAAATGACGTTTGGGAATTAGTGTCAAGGCCCGATGATCGTACGATTATTGGTACGAAATGGGTGTTCCGTAACAAACTTGATGAAAATGGAATAATCACTAGAAACAAAGCTAGGCTCGTAGCTAAAGGCTACAATCAAGAAGAAGGCATTGATTTCGAAGAAACCTATGCACCCGTAGCACATTTAGAAGCTATTCGTTTACTTCTTGCTTTTGCTTCGTCTATGGATTTTAAACTCTATCAAATGGATGTTAACAATGCCTTCCTCAATGGTTTTATTCAAGAGGAAGTGTATGTTGACCATCCCCCGGGGTTTGAAGACTTCGAGTTTCCCGACCATGTCTTCAAACTCAAGACAGCGCTCTACGGTCTTAAACAAGCACCCCGTGCTTGGTACGAACGTTTGAGCAAATTTCTTTTGGATAGTGGTTTCCAAAGGGGAAAGGTTGACACTACACTTTTTATCAAGAGTAAAAACAATAACATCCTTTTGGTACAAGTTTATTTAGACGATATTATATTCGGTGCTACTAACGAGTCTTTGTAATTCTCAACGCTAATGACAAGCGAGTTTGAAATGTCGATGATGGGTGAGCTCACATTCTTTTTGGGACTCCAAGTCAAGCAAATGAAAGATGGCACGTTCATTTGCCAAACCAAATATTGTAAGGAGCTCCTAAAACGGTTCGAAATGGACAACGCCAAAGCCATGGCGACCTCGATGAGCACATTCGACCATCTAGACAAAGACGAGAAAGGTAAGGAAGTAGAAGTCAAAAAGTATCGAGGTATGATCGGATCCCTTCTCTATCTTACCGCTAGTAGGCCGGATATCATGTTTAGCGTATGCCTTTGCGCAAGGTATCAATCATGTCCGAAGGAATCGCACTCAACGGCGGTGAAACGGATCATGAAATACCTTGTTGGCACGGTTAACGTTGGACTGTTGTATCCAAAAGGCTCTTCGTGTCATCTCGTTGGTTATTCCGACTCGGACTTTGCTGGTTGCAAATTGGACCGTAAAAGTACGAGTGGGACTTGCCACTTACTTGGTAGCTCTTTAGTTTCATGGTTTAGTAAGAAACAAGTCAGTGTTGCGTTATCCACAACTGAAGCGGAATACGTTGCCGCCGGTAGTTGTTGTGCTCAAATCCTTTGGATGAAGCAACAACTCGTGGACTATGGCCTTAGTATCAGTCACGTTCCACTCCGTTGTGATAATACTAGCGCCATAAGCTTGACGAAGAACCCCGTTCTTCACTCAAGGACGAAACACATTGACATTAGGCACCACTTCATTAGAGATCATGTTCTCAAAGGTGATGTCGAAATTGAGTTTGTTGAAATACACAACCAATTAGCCGACATTTTCACAAAACCTTTAGAGAAAGAGTCGTTCTTCCGCATTCGTAGTGAACTCGGAATCCTTGACTCCACGATGATCTAATTTGTGCATTTTCTCACCCTTTTATCTTTGATTGAACGTTTACTAACTTGAGCGTCGGAGGGTTTTCTAACTCTTTTTTGCAAGGACGGTTCGAAGTGAAGGAATCCGGAAGTCAGGGGGAACCAGCGATGGGTGGGTTATACCATCGCTGGGAGGGAAGTTTTCCTTTTTCCAGAACTCCTCCTCCCATCGATGGGTACTTTCTCCCATCGATGGGTAATTGACTCTATTTTTTTAAAAAAATTTTTAAACGGATTTCCAGAAACCCCTTACCCATCGCTGGGTATTTTATCCCATCGCTAGGTGAAGGACTTTTGTCAAAAATATTTTTTCCAGAACCTCCCTACCCATCGATGGGCAAATCCTCCCATCGCTCGGTATTTGACACTAATTTTTTTAAAAAAAGGTTTTATCGGATTTCTAGTAGTCACCTTCCCATCAATGGGAGAATCCAAACATCGCTGGGAAGGCAGCCCAAAATCTCTCCTTTGTTTCCAGTGACGACCTTCCCATCGATGGGAACTGCTACCCATCGCTAGGAAGCCTGCTGCGATTCAAAATATTCTGACCGTTGGGCAACAAATTTAATGCCCAACAGTCATATTTTTTGAACTCAATTCGGTTTCTCCTCTCCTCCTATAAATATACATCATGTTTCATCATTCCTAATCACAAATCTTCATCCAAACTTCAAACTTCTAAGCAAAATTCATTCTTTTTTCTTCATAAACGCTACTATGGCCGGAGGAAAGTCCAAGACAAAAGCTTCGAAGAAGAAGGTCACCGCCGAGGCCACGAGCTCTGCGCCTCAACCCTTCCCGTACCTGGACGGATCCTTCTTAGAGTTCAGGTCGGAAGAGGAACTTACTCGCTTCATCACGCACTTCGCCAAACGCCCTATCTCTCCGCCGAGGGTGCTGCCCGAGTTGTTCCCCCCAGCAAAAAGGGTACCACGACCTCGACAATCAACTCAAAGAGTCGAGTTTGTGGCCCTTCGTCTCCAAGAGCCGCACCTCGTTCAATCCCGCCTATGTCCGGGCCTTCTACTCCAATCTCCGCCGGGACGGGGACACCATATGAAGTAGCATCAATCTCTACGACCTAGAGATTGATTTGGCTACCTTTGCTCGGGTCGCAGAGCTGCCCACCCGCGGTGACGACATCGCGTCGTATGGTGGCGGCGATTGGATCCTCAACAACGAGGCCGTCGTCATCCTTGAGCTCGGGATCACCAACTTGATCCGTCACAGCGGCGCCCCAACGATCCACTCGGCCCCATCGGAGAAGCGCCTCCTACTCTACATCCTCACCCGGATCCTCCGCCCCCGGGATGGCAGCCACACCTCGCTCTTCAACGACGACTTGAGGGCAATTCATGCGATCATGCACGGCGCCTCCATCAATTGGGCGAAATACGTCATGATTCACATGACAGATTGCTCCTCCATTCTCCACGAGCGGAGCTTGCCATATGCTTTCCTCGTCATGGACCTCATTGTCTCCGCCGACATCCACATCACCGGGCCGAGCACGAAGATGACGAAGCTTTGGGTCATCACCGACAATACCTTCAAGAAGAAGTCTGGAAACCGAAACGGTGCCGGAACGAGTCGTGCCCGTGCCCGTGCCCAGCCCCCGCTCCCGCTCGGGCCTCCTTGCAGTCCATAGCCGATACACTGAATCGGCTAACCATCACCGTGGACGGCATGGGCCAATACTTGGAGAGGATGGACGGCAGTCACGGCACACTGCAACGCCAACATCATGACATGAGGGTGTTCTTCCGCGGCATCAATTACGTCCCACCGCCCTTTGACAGCACCTTCCTCGGCCAAAACTATGAGAGCGAGGACGAGGATGACGACTCCTATGCTCCATCCTCCTCCCCGGACGAGGCCGACTTTGAGGACGCGGTCGACGGGGATCCCATGGACGTCGAGGACGACGAGGATGACGATGACGATGAGGACGAGGACGCCGATGCCTAGACTCTTCATTTCTTTCCTTTCCTTACTATGACTGTATTTTTTATTTCCATTCCGTTGTATTCCGCATTTCCCTTCTTTTAATGAATAAAAGTTTACTTTTAAATTCTAAAGTTTACTTTTAATTCTTTTTGATAATGTCAAAAGGGGGAAAATATCAAGGTTATTCATAAATTAAGTGGGATTTTTTTTACTTTGTTAAATATAAAATGACATCTATTAAGGGGGAACATTTTTTTTAAGTCTAAAAAACAATCCTCATATGCATAACCACATCTCGTTTGCCATTATCAAAAAGGGGGAAATTGTTGAAACACGGGCTTGTCATGTTTTCGTACTAAAGCCGTGTTCTTTTTATGACAGGTTTTGATAATGCCAAACCGCCGTGAACAAGTCAAGCATTGAATATACAAGGCGAAGAACGAAGATAAGAACAAGAGCTAAACGAAGACCAAGAACGAAGACCTTAGTCTTAGCATCGTTGAGTCGGTCTTTATTGTGATCAAGACCGACCAATCTTTACACCTTGGCTCTTTAGGCTAAATCCTTTTTAATTGCTTTATCACATCATAAAAATGTTTTTCAAACGTGTTTAAATCATTAAAAACACTTGGTGTTCACCGAAACCAAAAACCAAGCCATTCGGCGTTCGGCTTTCAGACCGGCGTTCGGCTTTCGGTTATCGGCATTGGTTTTTGGCGTCCGAACCAACGAAGTGGTTTTCAACATTTTTGATTGGTTTTCACTCTTTGACATGTTTAAACGGTTCTCCATCAAAAACACTTTGAAAACCACCTTTCGTTTTTGGTCGTTTGGCAAAAACCACACAAAACGGCGTAAACTTTGCTAGCCGTGGTTTTTACTCAAATGACGTGTTTTTTAAAAGTTTCGCACTTGATTTCTTATCCAAACACATTAAATAAGTGTTTTGAACACTTGGTTTTTAATTGGGAGAACTTTGGATTTTTCGGTCGGCTTTTGCATCGGTTGGCTAGGCCGTGGTTAAGGCAAAAACCATAGGTTTTTGGCTAACCACCCACCCAGCGCTGGGAAGAACATCCCATCGATGGGTAAGTAGCCCCTTAGCCAAACCAAC